CTTTTCAGTTTTGGTAATTTGGTAAGTCACCAAGTTTGAAAGCGGCGGACGGGAGAGAGGAGACTGTCACAGGGTAATAAAGGCTAGCCAGAGACCCTCTGGGAGTGAGGCAGTTACAGTTGGGTCGGAAAACCTTCTCTGAGAGGAGGGATGGCGTGGTGGAATGAATGTTGACTCTGGAATCAGGTAGCTGTGTGAGTAATCTAGCCTTATCTTTTCTAAGCCACAGTTTCCTCACCTGTAAAATGAGAATGGTAATAGTGCCCTCCTTGAAGAATTGTCATGTCTTATTTTAATGAGATAAAACATACGGAGCAGCTGGCACAGAGTAGGAGCTCAATAATTTGGGTCTTTTATTTTCTCTTTCCCTCCTTCAAAGGATAGGAAGATGCTATTGTAACTCCTTCAAAATGTTTTCTTGTGCGTGTTTTTCAAAGAAAATGAAAGTAACCCTGGGTAGCTAAGCTTGTCCTCTTTGTAGCTCCTGGAAGTGCTTCTTATCAAGCTTGGGATTTGGAGCCAAACAAACATATCCAAACCAAACCAAATCCATTGCCTTTGAGTCAATTCTGACTCATAGTGACCCTATAGGACAGGATAGAATTGCCCCACTGGGTTTCCAGGGCTATAATCTTTATAGAAGCAGACTGCTACATCCTTCTTCCATGTAGGGGCTGGTGGGTTCAAACCTCCGACCTTTCAGTTAGCAGCCAAGCACTTAACCAATCCGCTACCAGGGTTCCCTATAGTTTCAAATCCATGTTCCACCAATTGCAAGTTACATGATCTTAAGCAAGTTAGTTAACCTTTCAGATCACAGTCTCCTCGACTGTAAAATAGAGTTTAATTGTATCTGCTAACATGGTAGTTTAGGAGTCCCTGGGTGGTGCAAACGGTTAAACGCTCAGCTACTAACTGAAAGGTGGGCAGTTCAAATCATCTCAAAGGTGCCTCAGAAAAAAGCCTAGCAATCTACTTCCGAAAGATCACACCACTGAAAACCCAATGGAGCACAGTTCTACTATGAAACACGAGGTCGCCATGAGTTGGAATTGACTCGAAAGCAAATGGTTTAATATCATTGTTTAGAAAGTTAAATAATGTAGTATATGTAAGCTGTATGGGACAGTCGGACACATAGTCAGAACTCAATGAATGGTTGTTTTTATAACTGCCTTGGGTGTGGCGGGGGAGTGCACAGAGAAATGGAGGGCAGAGTTTCTCAAAAACTTCGCTATTATTTATCACAATCATTATAACCCTTGGTTCTATCTGTGCAGTACTTTTTCCCACTAGTTTGACAATTCTTTTGTGCTGTTAAGTTGATTCTGACTCCTACTGACCCTGTAGGACAGAGTAGAACTGCCCCACAGGGTTTCCAAGGCTGTAATCTTTACAGAAGCAGATTGTCACATCTTTCTCCTGCAGAGCAGCTGGTAGGTTTGAACAGCCAATCTTTCGGTTAGAAGCTGAGCGCTTAACCACTACACCACCAAGGCTCCTTGAGTTTGACAATTGTTCATACTAAAAGACTTCAGGAGTGTGGATGAGCCAACAGGGTGGTGTGATTGCCAAAAAACAGTGAATGCATCCAAATCCCACACCTGGTGTACTGGGTTCCCATTAGGATGACACGTTTAAGTCTGACGTGAACAAGCTGGAGGGTGTGCCAAAAGGAGCAAGCAGGATGGGAAAATGGTTGGAAAGATGCCACATGAGGAGTGTCTGAAAGACTAAGACAAAGCAAGTCCAAGAGCGAGTATATATAAACCAATATTTGAAGGACTGATATGTGAAGGGATGACTTCATTTATTCTGTCAGCTCCAGGAAAGCAGAACTCAGACGTGGAAGTTACCTGGGGATAGATTTCAGCTCAGTGGAAGAATTTTCTGATAATGCAGGCATCCAATGACAATACAGCTGTCTACCCATGATACAAGCTGTCCAGTGAAGACAAGCTGTCCAGTGAAGAAGGACCTGAGTCCCAGAATCTGGTACTAGGTAGAACGTTGGCCTAGATACCAACTCAGGAATTCTATTTCAAAAGAAGACGATGACTGCTCCAACAGAAGCGGTCTTGTGTTAGCAAGCAATTTATGTGCTCCTTCACAATGCTGTAACCTCTTGGGGGCAGCAGAGTAAGGAAGAATAGGGAAGATATCTTATTTCTCTTAATACTGGCTAAACAGACACTGCTTATCTACTCAGAGGCAGGTACCTGAAGTGCCAAATCAACCTCTTTTTTCGGTGGTAACTTTTTCATTGCGACAATACTGTGGAGAAAGGAAGCTATCATTACCACTGATGTTTAAAAATTAATTTTGAAATAAGAAAATAACTGCTTCTACATTTCAGCACATTATTTAACTCCACAAACCTTAGTTTCCTTATCTGTTAAACAGAGATGACAGCGATATTTACCTCTAAGGATGGTTCATTCATTAATTCAACAAATATCTGGGCACCTATTATGTGGCAGGCTTGGTTCTACTTGCTGGGTATATCTATCATTGAACTAAAAAGACATAAAGCCCTCACGGAGCTTGCATTCTAGTGGGGTGAGGCAGCAGTAAACACAGCACGTAAATTGTAGAATGTTAGTGTGAACATAGCATACGGAAGTGCTATGGGAAAATAAAGCAGGGAAGAAGATGGAGAGGAGGGAGGTGGTTTCTGTGAAAGGAATGAGTAAGCTAATGCAGGTAAATGTGCGTAGGCTGATTCAGTAGAAAGTCTTCAATTCGTGTTAGCTATGATTACCACAGGGACTTCTGAGCTGGTAGGACCTACAGTAAAATGCATCATCCAACTCCTGAATTATTCAATAGGTGATGTGTATTCAAAGTCAAAACCAAAAGGAAGTGGATTCTGATATTTGCAGGTGAAAGAGAGGAATCAATGAAAATGTAATGACTTTGGGGTTCTGGCGCTGCCTCATTTGTGCAAGAATGGTGAAACCTGGGTTTGAACTGAGTTGCATCAGGCAAGTGACCTAACTTCTCTATGCCTTAGTCCCCCACCCCCACCCCATTTGACCAGGGCTGTTGTGATACTTAGTAATAACATATGTAAAATAGTGGGCACACAACAGATAACAGCGTACATTATTATTATAATGTTGTTGTTGTTAGTTGGCTCAGATCCATGGTGACCCCATGTATAGCATAACGAAAAGTTGCCCTGTCCTGCACTATCTTTATGGTTGTTGGCATGTCTGAGTCCATGGTTGCAGCCACTGTGAACTGCCTTCCAACCTAAGGGCTCATCTTCCAACATTATATCGGACAATACTATGTTGTGATCCATAGGTTTTCATTGGCCGAATTTAAGAAGTAGATCGCCTGGCCTCTCTTCCTAGTGTGTCTTACTCTGGAAGCTTCGCTGAAACCTGTCTACCATGGGTGACCCTGCTGATACTTGAAATACCAATGGCATAGCTTCTAGCATGACAGCAACATGCAAGCTACCACATATGGGTAGTGGATTATAATAATAATAATAATAATATTTTACTTGTGTTTGTTTAATAACCAAACCCATCTGAATTTTCAGTGTATTCAAGTAGAAAAACTAAGGAGCTTCCAGGCAATATTCCTCAGACGGGAACATTCCACCATCATGTGTTGCTAGGAGTTGGACTAAGGTCACTTGTTATGAGAACAAACCAGGAAGACATAAGGAAGCATTCAACTGATTAAATGCTCAATCCAGTGCTCAGCCTTGCTAACTCCTTGGATGCGGTCTTCAGAATTCAAAAAGATGCAAACAAAGATACAATGATTCACTCAAGCAGTTCTACAAATCTAAGGATTTTGCCAAAAAGAATTCCAAAAGGATTTATGAAGTGTGCTTCCCTCCAGAGCCTGCAAGTCAAGGAGATCCACAGGCTGTGTTTAATCAGCCCTATTTTCTCAGAGACCTCTGTAGCATTGTCCCTCTGGTTCTTAACACTCTGATTAAGAGTCTTGGGAGATGAGAACTTAATTTGCTCTGTGTTGAACTTTTTCTCATGGGGGCAGCTTTACAATGAAGGTGCTCTTTCTGCTTTCCCAGAGGGCAAAAGTAGAAGTCACACCACCATCACTTCCACATCTGCAAGTTCTAAAGTAAATGAAAGTTTGGGGGTATTTATTGGTGTACTAACACTAGCTCTCCTCCACTAGCCTTCCTCAAAGCAAAGGGAGCTATTTCTAGAATTGGAAGTCCCCCATTCACTGTGGATAGCACAGTAACCCTTTCTCTGCTGTTGGGGGAGTTGGGCCCAGCAATCTGCCCCTTTCAGGGATAGCTCTGACCACCTGGCAGTTCAGAAGGAGTGAAAGGGTGTTAAGAGACAAAGTTGTTGACTTTGGTGGGTCTCAGTCAGTGCTTCTTAAATTATGTACAGTAAAGGACCAGTTTTGTTCTTATTTCCAATCTATCATGGATGAATATTTTTGTTAAAATGCAATAAAAATTAATTACTAAGATATTTTAAAAAGACAAAAAAAATTAGTTATTGCTTTTATTATTAGATTCAACAAACAAAATCACTGTCGATTTGCTATAAAGGTTCCTAATTGTTTACCCACAATGTCTGTACAAATCTTGTCATGAACTGTAGTGCTGATCTAAGTCACTGTTTAGCCATGAATCTTTACTTGAAACAAATAGAACACAAACTTACCTCCCTTCCTCATAGAATAATATATTTAGCACAGCGGTTTGCAGATAGTAATCACTCACTGAATTCTAGCTACGACTATTTACTCAGGGCCAAGTGAGAAGAAAGGGGGAAGCATTAACTGGGAGTCTGAGACTGGGTCTTAATTCCTGCTCTGTTCCTACTGACCTTGTAAAAATATGTTCACCTTTCTGGGTTTTAGTTCCATAATTTACAATACATAATGAGATGGACCCTTTATCAGGAGGGATCACTCCCTGAAGAAGGACACCAGGCTTGGTAAAGTAGAGGGTCAGCAAAAAAGAGGAAGACTCTCAATGAGATGGATTGACACACTGGCTGCAAGAATGGGCTCAAACATGCCTGCTATCGTGAGCATGGCGCAGGACCGGGCAACACTTCATTCCGTCATAAAGTCACCATGAGTCGGAGCCAATTCGATCACACCTAACAACAAGGAGATGATCTAGAATCTAACATCTAGATCAGTGATTTATGAACTTAATTGAAACAAAGTGAAAAATACATGTGTCCCAGTACATAAATTTGCACACAGGTAACAGTCAACTGTAAAATTTCATGAAGTAATATTATCCTTACCACTTGCTATGCACTCTGATATTTTCAATCATATTTTCTTTTTTGAAATGTTGGTCAAGGTATATTTAATTGATTTTGAACTTACAGTTTGAAAAACACTGGAGCAAATGTTTTCTAAGGTTCCCTCCAGATAGAATCCTAATGGGACTGACACCCAGTAGGTTCCTAGTCAATCATTTATAACTTGATTTCTGGGTAGGACTGACATTGTCAAAGGAAGGTGCATTTCAAAGTTTTTATTTCGGGTTTTTTAGCCAGCTGGTTCTATTTGGATATTCTTAATGAATCCATTGATTACAAAGAAGAATGGTCAAAGATGTGGGTGTCTTACCCTCACACCACTGAATGATAACCTATAGGTAACATTGGATAAACCCCTGTCAGCTGTCCTCATGCATGTTTCCTTCAGGCAAATGAGCCAGGAGACGGCTTATGGGGAAATTTCCTTATTGGACTCTGCTGTCTCACTAAATTGCCTTTTTGCTCCCTGGAGGAAGGAGAAGAGACAGCAGTGGGAGTCACCAGGCCTTTTCTGGAAGTGTTAGAAGGATTGAACTGGTATTTCCATTCCTTCATAAGTTAGCAGCAGTGGGTGAGGAGATTTACTTAGGGGAAGATATACTGACGTGCAACCTTCAGTCTGAAGGGATATTTTGCAGTTCATTTTACCCTTTTAATAAATTATCTTAACTGTTTTGAGGTTCAACTCAGTGAAGAATAAAACACGAAACAATTTTATTTCAAATAACTTCTACCTCTGTGCTCTAACTCCCCCCTTTCCTCTTAAGTCATTAAAAATATCTCAAACTGATCTTTTCCCCATTTGAGTGGCCAGAAGTCTCATTTTGGTTACCATTTTAACCTCATATTCAATACAAAACTTGTGGCTCGTGGCTTCAGTGACTTGGGGTAGAGGAGTGAGGTGGTCTGCTCTCTCACCCTGCATCCCTCCTCCCTGAGCTTATTCCTTGGTTGTTTCCCTCCGTAACTATCCACAGTGAAAAAGTGGTCTTTGGGTTCCTCACGTGAACCACCCCACTTTGGTGGGGTTGGGTTTTCTGACAGGCCAGGGAGCCTCTTCTTTGGAACACTCTCCATATCCTGGCTCACACATGGGGGCACATCTATTACCTCTTTGTTGAGAGGCACTTCCGAGGATACTCATGGGTTGTGGAGAGCAGCTCTCCTGTGAAGCACTGGCAAGAAGGCACCAAGTCCCGAGCCTCCTTCCAGGGATTCACTTCAAACCATGGAGTCCAAGGAAACTCACATCCCTCTCCCACCAAATGTAGTTTTTCTCTCTCTCCTCTCTCTTTCTCCCTGCTCCTTCTCTTAGCTTCACAGGCCATGGGCATAAGAAGCACTTGCTGGGATAGTGGCTCACCAGTTCTCAGAAAAATGATAATCTCCAAGTTGAATGTTCCCCATCTTTGAGGAAAGTACCCCCAAAAGGTGACTTCTCCCCCTCCTCCAGCCCTGTTATACGGGTGTGAGGAATGGGGACAATTTGAGAGTTGGTTCTGCAGAAACGACATCTTTCTAAAAAGTTCTATATGAAAACTCAGTTCTCTGACCATAGAAGATGGAGATTTTAAACATCTTGTTCTTCACTGTGGGCTCTTCTCACCCATTCTTAGACAACAGGAAAGATTCCACTCAGCATCTCACACCACCATGTTAGATTCCTGACAGCCGCATGCCAGGCTCTGCGCCAGGTACTGTGAATACAGTAACAGATAGGAGAGCCATGGTCCCTGGCCTCGCTGAACTCACGACCTGACAAGATATTAAACACACACACACATACCATATATGTCTGTGAAATTCCATTGTGACAAACACCCTGAAGGAAAAGGAAAGGGTGCCGTGAGACTGGACCTAGTCATGGGTAGCAGGGGAAGAGCTATCTGAAAAAGTAATATTTAGCTTGAGACTGAAGAATAAGCAATAACTAGGTGAAGTGGACAGGAAGGGTGTTCCAGGCAGAAGGAAATGTACCTGAGCTTGGAAGGAGCTTGATTCCCAGGAAAAGCAAAGGACAACCAGCCAACCGGGCACAAAAGATGGGAACCAGATTTGCTGGGACCTCATGGGGCATAGTTACTCTTGATCCCAAGAGTAAAGGAAGCCGTTACAGAGCTTTTAAGGAAAGTGGTTCCATGATTGACTTTTCATCTTAAAAAGTCGCACAGAGGAGACTGCATCAGAAGAGGGCACCAGCGGAAGGAGAGGCAGTGCTTATGACGGTTTGTAAGTTTTAAAGCACTTTCACGCATGCTGAGTCTAATTCAGTTTGAAAGCCTCACCTACTTATCAACATTCCAAAGCAAAGTTGTATTAACTTATATTAACTTAATTGCTTATATAGTTGTATGTTCTGGAATCATACCCTGCTCTACCACTTACTTACCTGTGTGGCTTGAAGACCTCTGTGCGCCTCCTCAGGTTCTACAGTTATGAAATGTAACTCCTCTACTCTTTCAAGGTTTGAATGAGGATGAGTGCCTTGGTACACAGGTGTTGAACAAAAAGTCAGTACAGGCAAATAATCCTGACAATTAAAAAAAAAAGGAAAAAGGGAAGATCTCTTCTGGCTATTGTTGATCCAATTACTTATGCAAAATTCTGAATATCAACTTATGCCAAGACTGGCCAAAATTCATTTATTAAGGAGTGGAATTTTATGATATGAGATTAGTAATATTGGAATAGTTTGAGATAGGTAAGTCAGGATAGCTTTTTGTTTTTCCCTAACGGAAATCACTGAATGGTAATATAGGGAGTGAGAAAAAATACTATGTCTAGGTATAGATTATACTGGTAGACCTTTCTTTTTAAATCCATAATGCTCTCCCAAAAAAAAGGGTGTCTATATTCCCAATGACACAGCTTTCCAGAAATCTAGTCCTTATCAGTAAATGCTGATAATTTCTGCCTTTCCAGAGAATCTAAACCTCTGTACCGAAAATACTGCTTGATTATCTAGAAGTGGGGTGGCAAACGCGCTTAGTCCTCAATACTGTGCCCATGGCAGACACTAATAGTTGATCACAGATAGCCGTTAATAGTTGATCATAGTATTCCTTCCTGCAGAGCCCAGACGTGGCCTCAGGGGTCTTCTCAGAAAAGTGCTCCTGGCAGCTATCTCCAACTGATCCTGAAATATTTGTGAAGATACTCATTTCAAACTGAAAAAAAAAAAAAAAAAAATTTCAAGCAATGGGAGTCTAACTAATTTGTCTCAAAGTTCATTTGCAAAGAGAGTAGCAAAAAATGAAAATGAATTTCTAATGGACTGAGTTGGAATGGTCCTCTGCTTCTTCCCATTACTTAGCATCATTATTCATCTCCTCATAATCTTGTAGAAAATAAAAGTTCAGAATTTATGTGGTAACAGATGAACTTGACTGGACAGATAATGGCGAGAACAAACTATGAAGAGGATGGGCTGTGTAAACATGAATGCAGAGTTTTAAGGAATCAGTTTTTAGAAAAAAAAATCTCTACATGAAGTACAGAAACATAAGAAAATTATTGTCTTAAAAAGTAACTGATCTCAAAGAAATAAGCCAGTTTAAGAATGGCATAGGCAAATTTGTTGTACCTTTATAATTGGCTGGTTATTCAGGGAACTGTAAATATTCTAGGCATAGCAATACATTTTTAAATCGGTGTGGTAGGGTCAAGAGCTAGCTCTCTGCTCCAATCTTGTGTTGCATGATCAAGGTAGAATACTGCATACATGGAAACCAGTGGGAGCAGACCAATGTTCTTACAACTAAAAGCTGATTTCCGAAGCATGACCTAAAATGAAAGCTCCATGCTGAGGGAGAATGTGTTTTACTCATGGCTAATGAAACATATAATCCCTAGAGAAGTTCATTATTGTCTATTTATGATCTCTATGCTTTTACTTTCCTTATTGTCAGATTTAAACATATAATGGAAAAATCTTTCAAGATAGAAAACAAGCTATAGAATGCCCCTTTAATGAGGCTGTTGGTAATAGTTGAGTAGCAAGACTAATTAGGATTTTTTTTTCACTCTGAGTTACTTAAAAATACTAATTGCTATCGTTTTGCTCCAGATACTGTATATGTACACTTTGTGAATAAGAAATATGTCACACTGGAATGTGGCTTTAGTCATCCAAATAGTCTCTCATATATATGTATATATGTACACACACACACACACACACACATACAATTTCATCTTTTCCACAACACCAAAGAGGGAGGCAGATGAGGCAGCTGCGACATGGGAAGTCGAGTTGCTCAACATCACCGGAAAAGTCATGAAGCCAGCAAGAGATGCCACATCATCTTGACTTCTCGTCCAGCCGTTTCTCATTCCGTTTTTCAGTTTTCCCACAGCTATAGTATTTAGTTTTCATTTTACAGAATTTTAAGGCTATGCTTAGCTATGTCAGAAACCCTGGAAATATGTCTAAGGCTCTACAAATTAGAGAACTTTAAATGTGTAAGGACACGGAAATTACATTGTAAGTGCTTACTTGAAACAAGTTACCTTCACACTGAGAAAGAGCAGAAAAATCAACTAAATCATGTCGTTGGCTGCAACAGTGTTCTTACCATGAAACGTTTATTTTTAACGTGGCAGGATCATAGGAGTAAGTGTCTTAACACCCCCCTTCCACTTTTCCTATTCCCACACACCTAAACTGAAGAACACAATGACACCACCAACCAGACATACATTGTGTATTTTTTTTTTTAATCAAGGCAGTGGAAAAATCCCATCAGATTTCTTTCTTACATCACTTCTCACTCACCCTACTGCAACACCTTACATCTATGAACTGTCCTGAAGATGACAAGGACCTCCAGGCCTAGGCAAGCCTTCCAGTTCCTGCCACAGATAGAGCCCCAGCTTCCCTGTTTAGAAGAAACAGGACCCAGGATGGCTTTGTCTGTTGACAAGAGCGGGGTGACTCCAAACTACGTCCACCACTGAAACTCTGTAACATCTTGCTGACTCAGATGGAGATTCCAGGGTCAAGGAAGGGTAAGTAAAAACCTGAAGAACTTTTACAAAACCAGCAACAGGGGAAAACAGGAAGATCACAGAAGCTGGTGAAATCCTCACCAAGGCCAACGATTGCACAACACATCACCCTTGAAGCACTTTTTCCCACCTGCTAAAACACTAAAAATTAGGAGTGTTTCAAATCACATTAGAAATCACCAATCCCAGAACTTTCCCTTCTTAGAAGTTCTTCCAGAGTTTGTCAGAAATTCCTTTTAAGAGAGCAGAAAACTCCAAGGAATTTCAGGACTAGTAGTATAATACGCAACTGGGCAGATCGGTCCCTCTCTGTTAATCAAAACCAGTCTAGTCTGTGGTTTAGAGAAGCTGTGAATGTATGACATGTGAAGTTCCAGAGAGTTCAGTGTGTCTGGAATTCAAGAGTTCAAGGCCAAGCAGGTGAGGGCCAAGGGGTTACTACTAGAAATGGCTCCTCTTTGGATGGAGAAGGGGAAAGAGAAGCTACAAGAGAACTGTGTGAGTCAGCAAAGGACCACGGTGACCAGGAATGTCTCAGGACTGGTAGAGCAAAGGTTGGAACTGAACCTCTCTGTACAAGGAGGCAAGGATTTGCCTCTCTACTGTTCAAATTCCCTTTATTTCTCATTCTGTCCCAGTAGAGGACTTGCTAATACAATTGGTCCAAGTCTAAGACATTGATTGGGCTGAGATCACTAATGGGTAAGGTATGTTAAAAGGCCACATATGTGGTTTTTCCCTCTGTCATGGTTTGAATTATGTCCCCCAAAAATGTGTGTATCAATTTGACGAGGCCATGATTCCTGGTACTGTGTGATTTTTCTGTATATTATAAACCTGCCTCTGATGTTAACAAGGGAGGATGGGTGGCAGTTGTGTTAGTAAGGCAGGACCTGATCTACAAGACTGGATTGTGTCCTGAGGCAACCTCTTGAGATATAAAAGACAGAAGCAAGCAGTGAGACAGGGGGACCTCATACCATCAAGAAAGCAGTGCCAGGAGCAGAGCGCGTCCTTTGGACGGGGTCCCTGCACCAAGAAGCTCCTAGTCCAGGGGAACACTGATGAGAAGGCCGAGAGAGAGAAAAAGCCTTCCCGGAGCTGATGCCCTGAATTTAGACTTTTAGCCTACTTTGACTATGAGGAAATAAACTTCTCTTCATTAAAACCATCCACTAAGACAGAATTTGGTACCAGGAGTGGGGTGCTGCTCTAACAGATACCTAAAATGTGGAAACGGTTTTAGAATTGTGAATAGATAGATGTACGGCAGTGACAAAGAACCAGCAGCAGCAGAGAACCATAGCAGCAGAACCAGAAGACCGGTGAAGGACGGCGCTGGAGCCGACCCATGGAGCGAGAGAGCTGAGTGTCTGTGCACGAGGCTTTCTGGCGGAGTGGGGTGCCTCCGGGCACTTTCCGGGGGAGCTACTGAGCTTTGGAACACTTGCCCCAGCAGGGCAGATGCGGGCATGAGCGGGGGCCTAGAGGCCATAGGAAGCAGAAGCTGAAGAGACAAGGGACACAAGAAGCCAAGCGGCTTCAGCCTCAAAAGGTATGGCCATGACCTCAGGGGTTTGAAAGGGTGGAGCCATGGCCTCTAGTGTTTCTAAAGGTGGCATTGTCACTCCAATGGAGTAGGACAATGGTGCGCCTAAAGCCAAGGGAGCAGAGGTGCTGTCCCAGTGGGTCTGGAAGGTGGAGCTGAAGCCCAGGGCAGAGTGGCCTCCACTCAAAATCCAGAGATTGTGGCCAATACCTAGAGTCTGGAGGGCATGGCCATTGTGTAAATTGTCTCAGAGAACAGATTAATTTTCAATGCCTTGAGGCCTAATGTAATGTGTTCTGCTGACTTGCTTGGTGCCTGTTATCACTTCTTTTCCTCTAGTTTCTCCCATTTGGAAAGGAAATGTCTAGCTTGTGCCTGTTCTGCCATTGTACCTTTGGAAGCAAATAACTTGTAGTCTAGATTTTACATGAAGAGGAATTTTTGGGTTTTGGACTTGGAGTTAAGACTTTTGCTATGATATGATGGGGTGAATACGTTTTCCATGTTGCAAGGATGTGATTTTTTGGGGGCCAAAAGGTGGAATGTCATGGTTTGAACTGTCCCCCAAAAAATGTATCAATTTGGCTAGGCCATGATTCCTGGTACTGTGTGATTTTCCTGTATGTTGTAAACCTGCCTCTATGATGCTAATGAGGGAGGATGGGTGGCAGTTGTGATAGTAAGGCAGGACCTGATCTACAAGACTGGATTGTGTCCTGAGGCAATCTCTTGAGATATAAAAGAAGTG